TCTGGATATTAAAGACTCCGAAGCGGGGAGGAGGGAGAGATTTTAAAAACTACATATTGAGTACAGTACACTACTTGGGCAACAGGTATGCTAAAATCTCAGATTTTCCCATTGTAGAATTCATCCGTGTAACCAAAAACCACTTGTACCTGAAAAGCTATTGAAATTAAAAAAAGAAATGAGACAGCAATCACATTCTACTTTCTGCCTTGAGCTATGTATTCATGCCTTGAAATTGCTTGTTAGCGCCTAGGTAGTTAGTTAACCTAATACTGTCACATAGGATACTCTAACTCAATAGCTTAAAAATGTATAGCCAATGGAGATGGTAGAGGTTACAGGACAATGACATATTAAATATTTTGTAGTCATTATTTTTCTGAAAATTGAAAATACATTATAATTTTACACTTTAATTTTTGACCTCTATGAAGTTATTATGAAAGAAAACATTTGATTTGTATATTGAAATCTAAACCATGAGATTATTTGAAATTGGCTTCCCAGTTGATTCCATTTATAATGACTTACCCATTTTATTTGGACCACTTCACCTTTTCTCAGGAAATGAGATTAAATGAAAATAATTTCCCATAAAAAAACTAATAACTAACTAACTAAATAAATAAATAACTAATAGGTAATGTTTAAATCTGGCTTTCTTTTTGTGCAATAGTTATTTTATTTTTTAATTCCCCTGATAACTTGCTGGGAATACAAGCTTTGCAATCATCAAATTTTATGTTTTTGAAATGTTGTTGTAAATATATTATACTCTGTAGATAGAATAGTCATTAAAATTAGATGGTATGTTAGGTAAGTGCTAACAGGGTTTAGAGCAGCTGGCACTTCAGATATTGCTGGTGGCGGAACGGTACAACTCCTCTGAAACAGTTCTGTAGATTTTTAAAAAGTTAAATGTGTTTTCCATCAGTAGTCCCACTGTTGGGTATTTGTACTACAGAGATGAAGCTTATATTCACACAAAGACCTGTACACAAATGTTCATAACTTTTTTATTTTACACTTCCAAAAGCTGAAAATAACCTAAAGGCCCTTCTGCTGGTCAGTGGATAAACAAACTGGTACAGCCTGTACAATACAATACTCAGCGTCAAAAGGAACAAATTATTAATACGTGTAACAACTTGGATGAATTTCAAAAATGTTGTGACACAAACCAGTCTCAAAAGGTGGCATTCTACCTGATGCCATTTATTTGGCACAAATAATAGCATAAGGAACTTTTTGGGGTTGATAAGACTGTTCTGTGTCCTGATTTTGGTGGTTAACTGAATCTGTTCATGTGTTAAACTTTATACCACTGTAGACCCAAAAAGTTTTTTTTTTTTTAACTGTATGATAATTAAAAAAAACAAAAAACACAGGCATACCTCCTTTTATTGTGCTTTGCTCTGTTGTGCCTTGCATGTTCTGCGTTTTATTTATTTATTTATTTATTTTTACAAATTGAAGGTTTGTGATAAAGAAAGTTTATCAGTGCTGTTTTCCCAACAGCATATGCTCATTTCATGTCTCTATGTCACATTTTTGTAATTCTTGCAATATTTCAAACTTTTTTGTTATTATATCTGTTAAGGTAATCTGAGATCAGAGATCTTTGATATTACCATCGTAATTGTTTTGGGGATGCCAAAGATGGCATCCATGTAAGATGGCAAATTAAATGATAAATGTTGCGTGTGTTCTGACTACTCCGTGGACCAGTTGTTCCCTGTCTCTGTCCCCCTCCTCCAGCCTCCCTATTTGCTGAGACACGCAATATTGAAATTAGGTCAGTTAGTAATCCTGCAGTGGCCTCTAGGTGTGCCAGTGAAAGGAAGAGCCTCACATCTCTCACTTAAACCCAAAAGCTATAGAAATGACTAAGCTTGGCGAGGAAGGCCGAAAACTAGGCCTGTTGGTGCCAGTTAGCTAAGTTGTGACTGCACAGGAAAAGTTCTTGAAGGAAATTAAAAGTGCTGCCCCAGTGAATACGCAAATGATAAGAAAATGAAGCAGTCTTATTGCTGATGTGGATGGAGAAGGTTTTAAAGATCTGGATAGAAGATTAAACCAGCCACACCATCTCTTAAGGCAAAGCCTAATCCAGAGCAAGGCCCTAACTCTTCAGTCTGTGAAGGCTGAGAGGTGAGGAAGCTGCAGAAGACCTTTTTGAAGCTAGGAAAGGGTGGCTCATGAGATTTAAGGAAATAAACTTTGTCCATAACATGAAAGTGCGGGGTGAAGCAGTAAGTGCTGATGTAGAAGCTGCAGCAAGTTATCCAGAAGATTTAGCTAAGGTTATTTATGAAGGTTGCTACACCGAGCAACAGATTTTCAATGCAGATGAAACAGTTTCTACTAGAAGAAAATGCTATCCAGAACTTTCCTAGCTAAAGAGAAGTCAGTGCCTGGCTTCAAAGGACAGGCTGACTCTTTTATTAGGGGCTGATGCAGCTGGGGGCTTTAAGTTAAAGCCAGTGCTCATTTACAATTCCAAAAAATCCTAGGACCCTTAACAATTATGCTAAATCTGTTCTGCCTGTTCTCTGTAAATGGAGCAACAAAGCTGGATGACAACAACTTGTTCACAGTATGGTTTACTGAATTGAATATTTTAAGACCACTGTTGAGATTACTGGGCAGAAGAAGAATGCTTTCAATATATTACTGCTTATTGACAAGACACCTGGTTATCCAAAAGCTCTGATGAAAATGTACTGGGAGATTAATACTGTTTTTACGTGTGCTAACATAGTATCTATTCCACAGCCTGTAGATTAAAGAATAATTTCTACTTTTAAGTCTTACTATTTAAGAAATGCATTTCATAAGGCTATAGCTGCCATAGATAGTGATTCCTCTGAGGGATCTGGGAAAGTCAGTTGAAACCCTGAAAAGATGCACCATTCTGGATGCCATTAAGGACATTCATGATTTAGGGAGGAGGTCAAAACATCAACATGAACAAGGATTTGGAAGAAGTTGATTCCAAACCTCATGGATTACTTTGAGGGAGTTAGAGGAGGAAGTAACTGCAGTTGTGGTAGAAATAGCCATGAAACTAGAATTAGAAGTGGAACGTAAAGATAAGACAATTGCTGCAATCTCATGATACAACTTCAGTGGGTAGAGGAGTTGCTTCTTATGGATGAGCAAAGAAAGTGGTTTCTTGAGATGGGATCTACTGGTCAAGATGCTATGAACATTCTTGGGATGTCAACGTTTACTTAACAGAAAGAAATTATTAAAATATATTGAGAAGCCTTTTTACTTCCAAAACTCTATGTTTTGTAGTCATTACCTTGAATAGTTGGTAAAGCCTTAGTTCTGTTATAGCCTTCGTAATTGTTAGAGAGATGGATGAAGATGGAGAAGGAATGGCCTCTGTCAGGTTAAGAGTCTATAGCCTTAATGTTTCTTTAATGGCTTTTGCCATTTTATTTTTCCTTTAGTTGTTCAGTAAAGTATATGCAACTTTTCTTTTTCTTTTTTTTATTTTTTTGAGATGGAGTCTCAGTCTGTTGCTCAGGTTGGAGTGCAGTGGTGGAATCTCAGCTCGCTGCAACCTCTGCCTCCTGGGCTCAAGCTATTCTCGTCCTTTAGCCCCTCAAGTAGCTGGAATTACAGGCATGCACCACTACGCCTGGCTAATTTTTGTATTTTTAATAGAGACAGGGATTCATCATGTTGGCCAGGCTGGACTCTAACTCCTGGCTTCAAGTGATCCACCCACCCTGGCTTCCCAAAGTGCTGGGATTACAGGTATGCACCCCTGCGCCCGGCTAAAACTTGTTTTTTAACTAGATGAAAAATGTATTAAGCTATGGGAACATCACTAACTTTACCTTGTGACTACACCTAATGGCAGGATTACAGATAGAACGATGTGCAGCGAGGATGTGGCTCATCGTGTTTATGTATTTTGTCTTGTATTCTTGCCCTTTCCATTCCATATCTTTTTCCTGTCTTTTGTTTCTTACTTTTTTTAAACTAATTTCAGTGAGGAAATGTAATATGTGTATATATACACATATAAGTTGCTTTTATGGAATACAGTTAAACCAGTTGAGAATAACATTTTCATATTTCCATAAGACTTCATCGTATTGTTTTCATCAAATAGGAAATAAGGTCAGATAACTATGCAACAAATATTTAGTAGTCTCTCCTGACATAGTGAATATAGTAGTGAGCCTTCTGAAAATTCTCTGCTTCATTAAGCCTACATAGTGATGCACTAGTGGGTAGAGGTGAGTGGTATTACATTTTGAGGAATTGAGTTCCATCCTAATTTGTTTTAGACATCTTAATCTTTGTCAAATTACAAAGCTTGTTGAATCCATTCTAATTATTGCCAGATTGATAAAGAATAATCAATTCTTCACATATTCTTTACATTTGTATCAAAAAAAGTATAGTGGCTTTGGCATTTCAAAATTAATGAAGAATGTAATAGTCATAATAATCATATAACATGGTGAGTAGAATGTATATTCCATTGTATTCGCAGTTTAATAGTTTTTAACATGGTAAGTAGAAAAAACCATTACTTGGCTAAAGAGTGTTCTTAGGAATTATGTAAGAAGATAAAATGCTTACCAACAGTTGGTATCAAATTATATTTAAGAAAATGCTCAGAGGCCAGGTGTGATGGCTCACACCTGTAATGCTAACACTTTGGCAGGCCAAGGCAGGTGGATTACTAGAGGTTAGGAGCTCGAAACCAGCCTGACCAACATGGCAAAACACCATCTCTACTAAAAATATAAAAATTAGCCAGGTGTGGTGGTGGGTGCCTGTAATCCCAGCTACTCGGGAAGCTGAGGCACAAGAATGCTTGAGCACGGGAGGTGGCAGTTGCAGTGAGTCAAGATGGTGCCACTTCACTCTGGCCTGGGTGACAGAGTGTGACTCCATCTCAAAAAAAAAAAAAGAAAATGTTTGATAATATATATGGCTTATTATTAAAAGGTGGCTCTTTTATTTTCCCCCAGGAGAAACCTCAATTATTTTTCCAATGCATATGCAGCTGCAGTTAGTGCTGTGGACCCTGACGCCGGAAATGGAGAACTTTGCATTAAGGTTCCATCAGAGCTATGGAAACACGTCGATGGTAAAGCACCAAGAACATTATTGACTGCACACTAAAATCATGTTAGATTCAGGGACTAGAGAATTTTACATGAAAACTAATGATGCTGGGCAGGCGTGGTGGCTCACACCTGTAATCCAACCACTTTGGGAGGCTGTGGCAGGCAGATCACCTGAGATCAGGAGTTAAAGACCAGCCTGGCCAACATGGCAAAACCCCATCTCTACTAAAAATACAAAAATTAGCCAGGCATGGTGGCAGGCACCTGTAATCTCAGCTACTCAGGAGCCTGAGAGAGGAGAATTGCTTGAACCCGGGAGGTGGAGGTTGCAGGGAGCCGATAGTGTACCCCTGCACTCCAGCCTGGGCAACAGAGTGAGAGACTCTCAAAAAAACAAAAAAAAAACAAAAAAAAAAACAAAAAAACCAACCTAATGTAAATTAACCAGTTGAAATATACAGAATGGGTTGGAAGCTCTTTTCCTTATTAAGGATCACTGGCTAACGGGATAATATCAGTTCAGGGCTATGAAAAAAGCAATTTATTTCACCATTGTTTTTTAAAGGAAAAAACAAATTGTGTGTTTTTTTTTGTGTGTGTGTTTTTTTTTTTTTTTCTTTGAGCCGGAGTTTCACTTTTGTCACCCAGGCTGGAGAACAATGGCACAATCTCAGCTTACTGCAACCTCCGCCTCCCAGGTTCGAGTGATTTTCCTGTCTCAGCCTCCCGAGTAGCTGGGGTTACAGGCGCCTACCACCACACCCAGCTAATTTTTGTATTTTTAGTAAAGATGGGGTCTCGCCATATTGGCCAGGCTGGTCTCAAACTCCTGACCTCAGGTGATCTGCCTGCCTTGGCCTCCCAAAGTTCTGGGATTACAGGTATGAGCCACCATGCCTGGCC